GTACATGAAAACTATTCTAAAACTATGCAGGCATGGATAGTTTTAGGGAATCATTTACCAAATCCTCAAGTACCATGTCTACTCTTTTCTAAAAGTGGTCTGCTTGAGAGCATGCTTGTGGTGGAGGTGTCGTTCTGGTTAACTCCCCCTTCACAATTATCTTTCCCTGCTACTCCATTGCTACAAGATGCCATATAGACCGCTCTCCACACCACCCTCAATCAAATCTCAACATCGTTTTGGAGACAGGGGAAGAAGATTTCCAACCCAGCATACTATACAGAGCTTAAGCATTAAACGAATGTGAGAGGGGAATAAAAACATTTTAAAACATGCAAGCTAAAGAAAAAAAAATCGTGCACCTTTTCTCAGTGAGCTTCTGGAGCATGTGCTCCAACAAAATGAGGGAGTAGACCAAGAGACAGGTGATCCTCAACCTAGGAGAAATGTGAAGGGAATCATGGAAGTGATACTAAAAGAATATCTCCAGGTCAAGATTAGAGAGCAATTGATCCACGTTCCAATGAAAAGGCATAAGGCCAAGGAGGGTTGTTTTCCGGAAAAGAGAAAAAATTGATAGATTATCTGCTGTGTTAAAATGTACTGAGAAATGATTTCCAATTCTAATAAAAACTTCAAAGATGATTGATATATAGAAAATTAAGTGAGTGAAAGAAAGGTGACAAATATTAACTGCATTTATACAAGAAAGAAGAAATAATCATAGCATAGTATTTATTTTAGTTATAAACGTATTTACTTGCTAATATTGACATAAACACTTGGATAATGATTTAACCAAAAATTGTGATATAACTCTATTGGGATAATGGGGGAAGGAGGGATGTGTATGTGTGTGAATATGTGGGCACATAAAAGAGTTAGATCATTATCTTTATCTCAATGTTAATTCTTAAATTAAACAAGAAAATCCAGAAATAGTAGTATACACTGATAACGGAGCAAAAAAAGACTTTGGAACTGGGACAGCGAGTAGTGTGTGCGGTTGGAAGATTCTCCAAAGATGCCCATGTCCTCATCCCCTGAACATATGAAATTCTGAGTAACATGGCAAAAGGGACTTTGCAGATGTAATTTAATTAAGGATTTTGAGACTGGGAGATTATCCTGGATTATCTAAGTGGGCAATTTAATCACAGGAATCTTTGACAACAGATAATCGGTCCTGGCTGAAGTCAGAGGAGGAGAGAGAGAGAGGAGAGGTGACCACAGTAGAGGCAAGAGAGATGTCAGGCAGGAGAGGTGCCTGACACTGGCTGGAAGGTCAAGGGACAGGGCCATGACCCCAGGAATGTAGGTGGCCTTTAGAAGTTGGGAACAACCCTCATCAAAGAAACAGGGACCTCAGTTCTACAACCTCAAGGAACTAAATTCTGTCAACAACCTGAATGAGCGGAGGCTCTGGGGAGCCTCCAGAGAGGAGTTCAGCCCTGTGGACGCAAAGGTTTTAGCTCAAGCAGACCTGTGCCACACTGTGACCTACAGAAGTGTAAGATAACAAATTTGCGTTGTTTGAAGCCATGAAGTTTGTGGTATTTGTTACAGCAACCAATAGAAAACTAACACAGTGGGGAAGAGATACTTTATTTAAGTTTTGTGGAACTATTTTACTTTAAACATGAATAAATTTGTTTTAAATGTATAAAAATTGTAAAACTTTAGTAAAATAAGAATTGATAGTTATTTTTTTAGTGTGACTGTTAAACCAACAGTCAGCCTCTTTCTGGCTTCTCTTCCATTACGCATATTATGTATGAATTTTGGTGGCTTCTGAGATCTATGAAATCGAGCAAAGGCCCCTGATTTTCAGTCCTTTGGGTGCTCCCAGGCGTCTAAGCCCACGTCTGTAGAGTTGTGGTGGTTTAAAATCATGGCTGCAAAGTTTTTGGCACTCCCACTATTCAGAGGTGGGGGTTATGTGCCCTTCCCTTTTATCTGGGCTGGCTTGTGACTGCTTCAACCAGCAGACAGTAGAAGTGACACTAGGTAACATCTGGGCCTAGATTATAAAAGACCAGGCTGCTCTGCCTTGTTCACTCCTGGAGTCCTGAGCCATCAGGTCCAATATCTGGTTACACTGACATTGCCGTGCTGAGAGGTCACACGCGGTGCTCCACTCAACAGACCCAGCTACGCTGGTTCTTCAGCCATCCTTGACCAGGCACTTGTGCATGAAGGCATCCAGGGCCCCTCCAGGCTGGTCCATCTGCCAGCTGAATACCAGAGTCATCTTTGCCAGACTCACATAGAACAGAAGAATCACCCAGCTGACCCCTACCCAAATTCAAGACCCACAAAATCATGAGATATACTAAAATGGTTTCTGTCTTAAGTCAACAACAATTTAAAGTTCTGGTATAGTTTGTTAAGTAACAATAGATGACTCTAACAATATTTTACTAGAAGGCAATATCTGATGGTTCCATACCCTCAACATCAAATTTGGCCTTGCAGATCTTGGCTGAAACTCCAAAACCCATGGTGCTCTGTGTTTGACTTGGGGCCAATGAGCCAGCCTGCAACCAAGCCCTCCACCTGCGAAAGCCTCGGACCCTCGGTCTCACGGAATCTAGCGATCTCCCCAGGAAGGACCACATTCTTCCCTTAGTCTCAGAGCAAAACTCATTTCCCTAACGCATCTCACAAATCAAAGTTATCCCTTCTCTAGGCAAGGTAATCAGAACTCAAGGTCTTTAAGACCAACTTTCTGGCTTAAAAAAGAAAAGAGGGAAATTTCTCATGTATCCATGTCAGGAAAAACACCACCACCAATAATCCACCAACTCCCCACCCCCATAAAACAAGATATCTTGTTTAGTGGCGGTCCGGAAGGGCTGTTTAAATGTTACCAATTAAAAAAATTTATTGATTTCTTACTGCACTGCAGCCAGAGAATGAGAATTTTATATTGTGTAATTTTTAGAATCTGCTGAGGTGTTCTCAATGTTTTAAGATATGGTCAATTCTTTAAATCTTCCAAACGTTTATATTAAATATATATGTGAATATATTTTTTAAAAACACCTGTTAATTATATTATCGAATTCTTCTAATAATAATAAAGAATTACATAGTATTTACTCTGGGTAAAGCATTGTTCTAGAAGCTTCAGACAAATTAACTCTTCATCCATTTATTTTTAATCTATAATATCTTTAAATTTAAAGTGGGTTACTCATAGACAATATATAGTTGGGTCTTGTTTTTTGATTCACTCTGACAATCTCTGTCTTTTAATTGGGGTATTTAGACCATTGACTTTCAAAGTGATTATTGATATAGTTGGATTAATATCTACCATGTTTGTTATTCTTTTCTAATTGTTACCCTTGTATTTGTTCCTGTTTTATTGTCCACTCTTTTTCTGCCTTTTATAGTTTTAACTGAATGTTTTATAGATTCCATTTTTTCTCCATTTGTAGCAAATCAAACTTCTTTTTTTAATGTTTTTTTAGTGGTTGCCCAAGAGTTTGCAATATACTCTTACGACTAACCCAAGTCCACATTTAAATAACACTGTATTGTTTCATAGATAGTGTGAGTACATTACAATAACGAAATGATCTTCACTCCTTTCTCCCACCCCTCGGATCATTGTTGTTATTCATTGCACTTATATACAAGCATACATAGGAGTATATATAATATATATAAGCATACATATAAGGTATATACATAAGCCTACCTAATTGAATACATTGTTGCTATTATTATTTTGAACAAACTGTTATCTGTTAGGTCATTTAAGAAAGTTTTTATTTTACCTCCACTTATTCCTTCTTTGATGCTCTTCCTTTCTTTATGTAGCTCTGAGTTTCTGGTAACCTATATGATTTTCCTTCTTTCTAAAGAACTTCTTTTAACATTTCTTTCAAGGCTGGTTTGCTAGTAGCAAATTACCTCAATGTTTGTTTGTCTGAGAAAGTCTTTATTTCTTCTTCACTTTTGAAGGATAATTTCGAAGGGTACAGAATTCTAGGCTGGTGGGGTTTTTCTCTCAAACTTTAAATATTTCCCTCCAGTCTCTTCTTGCTTGCATGGTTACTGAGATGTCAGATGTGATTTTTATCTTTGTTCCTCTACAGTTAAGGTATTTTTTTCCCTCTGGTTTCTTTCAGGATTTTTTCTTTATCTGTAATTTAAAAATGATAGGCCTAGGTATAGTTTTTTTGGCATTTATCCTGTTTGGTGTGCTCTGAGCTCCCTCAGATAAATTAACACTTAAGTCAGGTAAGAACGCTTTGCAGTTGGTGCTGTTACTGCTCCCACAGCAAGTTTGATCAGTCAGCTTGAGGCAGTGAGAGTTAAATCACACAGCCAGGATGTGGCAGGGCAGGTGTTTGCACTGAGGCGGTATTATTTATATTCTAAAGGCCCTATGGTTTATGTAGACTTTATTTCAAGCCACCTCACATCATCCAGAAGGAGTTGTAGCATGCCTTATTAACAAATGAAAATAAAATGCTGGGCCAGCCCTGTGACCTGGTGGTTGAGTTCGGCACACTCCGCTTTGGCAGTCTGGGTTCACAGGTTTGGATCCCGGGTGTGGACCTACATCACTCATCAGCCATGCTGTGGTGGTGCCCCACATATAAAATACAGGAAAGATTGGCACAGATGTAAGCTCAGGGTTAATCTTACTCAGCAAAAAAAAAGAAAGAAAAAAGAAAAAAATTCTGACTGAACTTCAGATAACTCCCAAATAATACTTAATATATTTCTAAAATATTTCTTCCCCCTCTGCTACTCCTAGTTATTCCAGTTTTGTGTACTTTGTAGATATTTGAAAATCTCTCTGACTTTTAAGTATTCTTGTGTATTCCTTTGTTTTGGTGCTTTCCTTATATTTTTTTCTCCTTTTTTGTTATTTTTATTCCAGATGTTTAGGAGTCAAAAAATGATGAGGATGCCTTAATTACAATGCTCTGAATGAGCTGGTTTGACTTGCCTTTGTAATCTGTGTTCTCTCTGTATCCTAGCCTCGTTTCTGGGATGTGCAAGGAACTGAGTGACTCATTTGGATCACCTGCTGCATCATCAGGAAACAGCGCCTGAGGGACAGAGGCTAGACTGGGATTTAAGATAGTGGAGTCTAAGCTCTGCTGGCTTACTGGCTGTCTCCAAGTGGGGCTACATTTTGACCATGGTTCATAGGTAATCACTTAATTTCACGTTATTTGTTTCTTTTCCTCCCTAAAATGGTAGTAATTATCCTTTATCCCTCCTCCTCCCTGCCAGGATATTGCAAAGATTAATAATTATTGAAAACAAAATGAAATTATCAATCTCTCCAGAGATGTTTGCTATATAAATATAAGGAATGATTCTCATGATTTCCTTGGTCTTTATAGCTGTGCCTGTAAGGTAAGTAATCGCTTTCTCAATGAAGGGGGCATTTTGAAATTCCTCCCAGAAAAGTCTGGCATTCATTCTAAATTGACCCAGAGGCTGAGGAAACCTGGAATTGTTCCAACTGGTTCTTACTCTGCCAGGTAAATATTTCCATGAACTAACAAGTGGCTTGAGACTGGTTATTCATGGATTTGGCTGTTATTGTTGCATTGTTTTTGAGTTACTTTTGTGTTATATTTTTAGAACCCGTATAATTTCGTAGGTCCCAGTGCTTAATCTGAGTCAGTATGTGTTCTTTCAGATGCAGAATACTACAGCTGGGTAGAACAATCTATCTGTTCAGAAAGGACATTTGTTATAAACTTACTAAGATATTTAGAGGTAAGTGTTTCTGGATTGGTTGGTGACTTAAAATCATGGGAGGCCCATGCTTGTTCTTTCCTTCCACTCCAACATCTGTGGCATGTTTAGTTTTTGTCCTTAGGTTTCAGGCTTCCTGGTCACCAAATGGTTCACGGACAGCAAGTCCTTCCATGGCTTTGTATGAGTGCAGATGTAGGGGGTCTGTCAAGATGGCAAGAGAAAGCTCCTCTCACATGTCTGTCTCCTTTCATCCAGCAACAAAAATCTTTCGCAGGAGTCCCTCCACTTGCATCTGTTTGGGCAGAAGTGGGTCTCATGGCCTCTCTGAGCTGCAAGGGTGGCTGGGAAAAGGAGTATCTCCCTTTTTCACCATCTACATTGGGAGGTGGGCAAGGAGATGAGTTGATGAATCACCAACCAAAGTGTTGGTCACAATTAACAAGCTCTTTTTCTTTCTTTCCCTTCTACTGCATTCACAGAAAGCACTGCCTTCTATCAGCCTCCCACATTCTTGAGAATGGACTCTACAAACTTGCCAATGTGAGAGTTGATGCTTCCCATCTAGTATGGAAGAATCGGGTTCAGAAGTTTGTCACACTATTTTTGAAAGGTAATCAGCTCCTGCATGTGAGTGGACGGAACAGGTCTATTTAAATTGTTTTCAAGTTTTCCCTGTAAAGCAGCACAAAACTGCAAGCTGAGGAATGGAGGGGGAAAACGTTGCAGTGGCATTGATCTAGTTCTCATAACTGCCTTGTGAAGGAGGCAGGCAACCGTTCATACTGCTGATTTTATAAGTGAGGGATGAACAATTAAAGGAGTAGCAGTTCTAATTCTAGGAACTGGGTGTGAACAATTTCATTTCTAGGCTCTGAATGACCAAAGGTGTCTGGACTATAAGTTTTCTGTCCAAAACACGTTTGGTATAGGTCCACTGATAGCTGGAATTTATGTGAAATACATGGATCTCTCCTTGTAAGTCATTGCTTCTCTGATTTCCTTGCTTATACACTGAAATTTTTTTGTTTTTTGCTCTAAATAGTTGGAGAATGGCATAGGATGACCTTGTACTCAGGCAATATACAATACAATCAACTCCAACAATTAATTCTAGAATAGTTTCCCATTGATAGGAATGTAGGAAACGTACACTGGCATCATTATCATGGACATTTCTCTTTGTTTTTATTGTAGTCAATACAGTGTTGAATTCAGTTGCTCACCTTGGAAGAGAGTGTGAGGAAGTTTGACTATCCTTTAGTTTTATCTTTATCACCAAAATGACAGGACCCAAAATCCGTCTTCCTCCAACTGAGGTCAGGTTTTTGCCGTGGAGCAGGGCGGCAACCAGCACGTCTTTGTGAAGATGATCTCCTTTATCTGAAAACAAAGGAACAACTTGGTATGAATAAAACCCAAAGAATTTTGCATAATTTTGGTGTTTCTTGATCCATACTCTCTACTTGGGATAGATTTAGCTGAGAGTAATAGAAACTTTGATACTGCTTGAACAAATAAGGGGTTTATTTTTTTCCATAAAAAGTGTGGCAGTGATCATTTCAGGGTCCAGTGCAGCTTCTCCAGGGCCAGGCTCATCTTAACTTTCTGCTTTGCTGTCCTTCATGTGTAACTCCTGAGCATCTCAGAATTATGTCAGCATTCCAGGAATGAGGAAGACAGATGAAGGAGTGAGGATAAGTTTCTATTATCAGGACTTGGACCATTTCCAGAACCCCTAGTAAACATACATCTTGTTGCTGTGAACCATCTCCCACCACTACCTTTAGCTGCAAGAGAGTCTGGTGACTGTAGTTTTTCAGTTGGGCTCATTGCCATTCCTGTGAAAATTGAGATTCTCTTAATGAGGATGAAATGGAGAACTGACATTGCCTAGACAACCAGCAGTGTCAGCCTCACCCATCATACTCGGGCAGATTATGGTATCTACGTTTCATCTGTTAGTCCTTACTTTCAACATCTATTGCCATACTAAATGTGAGTCAAAATGATTAGATGAGGAAAACAAATCTACTGTTTTATTTTCTTTTTCAAGTAAGCAATAGTCACCTTCTCATTCGTGTTTACTTTTGAGCCGAATTGAAGTTTGCTTTCTTAAGTGCACAATTTTACATATATTTCTGTTTCTTGGTGAAGAAGTAAAGGTTCATTTGGATGATAAGGTGAGTTTTGGAGGGGCAAATTCATTCGGTTGTCAGAGGGGTCTGGGATTCATCCTGGGACTGCTGTGTTCCCTGCACAGTGCCTGAGCATCTGGCTTCCCCTTTGGAACCAGCCCCTCAGCCCTCTCTAGACCTGGAAAGGATCAGAGCTTAGGGCTAAGGAGCAGCTTCTGAGTCATCGGGTGGCTCATTTTGTGCTGTGCCCGCCCCAGCTGTATGGCTGGATCTGTAGGAACACTCTTGATGGTGTCATAGGAAACACATCAACAGTGTATTTAAACGGAGCTGAGAAATGCTGCCTACACAGCCCAATTTCATCATGAGTCCAAGGTTCTTATTCTAGGAAGTAAAGTGTAACAGGCATTCCAAACCTACAGACTCATTATGGGGTCAGCCTTTTGCAACCATGATACTAATTTGAACATTTTTTCTCCTAACTCCTTCTCCTCTATTCTCTTCTTTTTTTTCTCTATTTAGGTTTTATCTTAGAAAACTTGTTGGAATTTTCAAGTTGGTAAGGCTTAAAGAAGTCACCTTTTCTAACTTCCCACCTGTAGGAATCCTAGAGGACCTCATCTGGGCTTTTTGTGCAGACATCTAAGACAAGACTCTCCTGGTCTCACAGACCAGGCAGTTCTAAAGAACATATCAGGAGGTATTGCTTGTATGAAGCTGATATCTCCTGTTAGATTTCATAATCTCACACCAGCAATGAAACTCCAAAATCCTATTTGACAAAATGACAAAAAAGATTATTGCACTGACCGGATATGACATTGCCAGGTCTTCTCTTCTGTGTAAGCTTTGTTGATTCAGAATCGAGTGATAGTTTATAAGTCTCTATTAGGAAATTTGGAGGGAGAGTATATATGAAACACAGCAACAGTTCTGTATAAAAGCTGAATAATGTGGTGGGGTGTGACAGAGAAAGAAACTGAACAATGTTATTTGCCATTCTGATTGTCATCTTTAAAATTAAAATGTTGAGGATATATCTTTGCAAGGATCTTTGGTCATATTCCTCTCAATTTTTAGGAAGACTGTAAAACGATTTTATCTTCTTGCCTCCTCCCCCCTCCTTCCATACTTGTCTCCCTTTTCTTCTTTCCTTCTTTCTAAGGCTTATAACTAGGAGAGTTTCAAGGAGAGGTTAATCAATTTGGTTTGGCATGATGAGAGAAGACATCATGAGGGAGGTGAGGCTTGAATTAATCTTGAAGAGTATTTGAGTGTTTGGTCAGATGGGATGGGAGAGACCGAATGAAGACAGATGGACCAATGCAAGAATTTTTCCCAAGTCTGCTAGAGTCACTCAGTCATGATTATGCAGGCTGCTGTTTTGCAAAGGAAATACACAGCCCACAGGCAGCCATTACTGTTCACACTTCCTTATCCTCTACTTTGTGGAAGACAAAGCATTTACTAACACTGATGCAGAGTTCAAGTTAATTACTCAGAGATTCTCAACACTGTTCCCCATGAGACAGACATTGCATATGACCTTCCCAAGCAAGATGGTCTCAAGGAGGCACCTTGGCTTCTGTGCCATTCTGCCTGTAATTTTGTCCCCTTCTCTCTTAAAGCAGACTGTAATACAAATGAGAGTGGAATTATAGGGGAAAACAAATAGAGGTGCCATATTTTTGTTTGATTTTGTCTTTTGGTGAGGAAGATTGGCCCTGAGCGAACATCTCTTGCTAATCTTCCTCTTTTTGCTTGAGGAAGATTGTTACTGAGCTAACACCTGTGCTAATGTTCCTCCATTTTGTATGTGGGATGCTGCCACAGCATGGCTCAACGAGCAGTGAACAGGTCTGCACCCAGGATCTGAACATGCAAATGCCAGGCTGCTGAAGCAAAGCATGCATATTTAATCACTACATCACCCAGCCAGCCCCCCATATTTGTTTTTGAAGAGTTGTCATAACTGATTTTAACTAACCATCTAGATGACAGTAGCTGAGGATTGTCAAAAGGTTGAAGGCCACCTATAGAGTTCATCAAAGTCTGTTTATTCAGAGTTTACTGTAGTAAGGGAGTCAGCATTCCTTGTGTTGGGGGCTCAAAGGGGTTTGAAAGGACAGCGAGTTTTATGGAGTAAAAGGAGGAAGCCTCAAGCAGTCTTTGATTGGTCAATGTCCTATTTGGGGGGACTTCTCTTAGGGTGGGATTTTTGGAGGTGGTGGAGGGGCAGTAGAGTGCATGGGTGGGAAGCTTTCCCATTGGCTTTCAAACTGGTTACACAGCCTTTGATTGGTTTACTTGCAGCAGGTACATAACTGGACCTTCCCAGGCTGGTTAGGCTTGTAGGGGTTTTCTGATTTCAACCGAAAGAGTATCTGGTCCTCTGCTGTGAGTTCCCAGTCTCACATAAGCCAATTCTGCAGTATTGTTGCATTAAACTGTAAGCTCCCTTTACAGCTGTACCAGTGTGTAGTATATAGTGAGGAGTCAGTAAGTGTTTGTAGAATACACAATAAATATTTTTAAAAAGGGATTTTCTCCCAACATTTTATTTTAAAAACTTTCAAATATAAAAGTTGAAGGAATTGTACAGTGAACATCCATAAATCCACCACCTAGATTCTATAATTAAAATATTACTATATTTGCTTTATCAAATATCTATCCATGTATTTACCCCACAAGAGGAATTTTTATATGACACATTTGGTTAAGCTAATAAGAAAACAGTTTATAGCCTTACTTACATGAGGAGAGATCTAGTCCAAGAGAATAATGAGCCATTGTTCCAGAGATGTCTTAATTGCCCTTATAAACCACTATTGTTTGCCAGACATAGGTGGGGCTCGATCCAGTATGAGGTTTTTAGTGTCCAAGGACTTTAGGAGTTAAGGTGTGGATATGCTAAAGGTTCATTTGTTGATAGTATTATTGAGCCAAGATTTACACACATCTTCAAAAAAAATTATTATTAAACTTGTAGGAAGAAATGCCAATTTAAGAAAACTATTAGAGATTTTAAGCTTAATGGAGCTACTACAATCAGTGTTTGTCATAAGATCTAAAAGTTCCATGGAAGGCAGCTTAGTTCACAAATGAAAGATGATTCTGTAGGTTAAATGAGGCAGGTAGAAGTTGAATATGCCTTCTCCATCAAATACTGTTAGGAGGCTGGTCATCAAAATATATTTGCTTATTTTTCCTCTGTTCTGTTTTTTTCCTGAGATTTAATATATTTCTGCACTGTTACTCTCAGGAGGCGTATGTGTGTGTACTATGGAAGGTCTAGCACACAGTGTCTGACTACGGAGGCAGAGGAGGTGTCAGACAGGAGTCAGTGCAGCCTTTAGAGTTAGATGCCTTGAGTTTGGGTCCAGCCTCTGTCCTTCGTTGTTGGGGCAAGTTACTTAGCTGCCCTGAGCCTTAATTTCTGCATCGTAAAACTAATGTAATCCACAGTGGTACTTACCTCGCAAGGTTGTGATAAAGACGAAATGAGCAACTGCATGTAAAGTGCCTGGCTCGTAGTGAAAATCAGTAAATACTAGTTATGATCACTTAAGTGGTGAAAATAATATACGTAGGAGGAAAATTAAAATATGCATATATTAATAGAATTGAATTTTAGTTTTGAACTCGAAGGAACCTCAAAAATCCTCTCTCCTTGTGGCCGACCTGGTGGCATAGTGGTTAAGTTTGCATGTTCTGCGTTGGCGGCCCGAGGTTTGCAGGTTCAGATCCTGGGCACAGACCTATTCGCTGCTCATCAAGCCACACTGTGGCGGCATCCCACATACAAAACAGAGGAAGATTGCCACAGATGTTAGCTCAGGGACAATCTTCCTCAAGCAAAAAGAGGAAGATTGGCAACAGATGTTAGCTCAGGGCCAATCTTCCTCACACACACACACACACACACACACACACACACACTCACACACACACATCCTCTCCCTCAACTCCCCATCTTACAAATAGGAAACCTGAAATCCAGAGACATTAAATAATTTCCCCACAGTAACAGTTGGCATTATTGTGGAATAGGATGAAAACTAAGGCTCTTTGGTTCTCTAGTAAAGCTCTTTCCACTATACTAAGCAATCCTGATTTGCGGATGCTGAAGACAGCCTACTGCAGTGATAAGGCATGCAGTCCTTGGAGACACACAGACCTGAGTTCCCATGCAGGCTCCACCTCTTATTGTGTGACCTGGGTGAATTGCACCTGGGGTTTCTCTGTAAGTGGATTTTATAATCCT